TTTGATATAAATAATACCAGTAATGTTGCAAGGAGAAAAATATCGTAAAAAATATCACAAAATTTTAAAGAAACATGTAAAGGTGTTAAAGGAATATAAAAAAAAAATCAGGGTGTTTTTTTTTAATTACCTTAAATAGCTACATTTAAACTGCCGATTTTTATTTAACCAGGCTAAGTTTTAAAACTTGAAATCCGATCGGATACAAAATTTAGAATCCGATCAGATCGGATTTCAAAATTTGAAATCTGTATCTGATTCGTATACAAACGGATCAAAAAATTTAAAATCTAATCTGATTCATTCAGATCAAATTCATGGATTATTTGAATTCGGATAAAAATTGAGATCCCTACATATAGATCAAAATACTGGAAAGAAAAAATATCAAATTTGTAAAACAATTAGAAATTTTCTGAAGAATCAGAATAGTAAAAAAATGAAATAAAAAATCCAAAAAAGGAAATTGATCAGCTTAAATCTGTGAAACCTGAATTTAATCCTATAGTAGTTGTAGAATCTAGAGTAGCTAATATTTCCAAAATCTAAAAGTTTGCTGAGTTTAGAAAAGCATTGAAGAATTCAATTTAGAAGGAGTAGTAAAGAGGCAAAACCAGTAAAACCAGTAAAACCAGTTACCTAAAATGAGCTGAAATTAAAAAAAATGAGAGTAGAAATGAAGATCTTAATGAAAACCATTCCTGATGAATATAAACTGAGGGTAAATGAAATTTTTTCGAGTAATGTAAATAAAAAAATATTACAAAAGTTTGATATCTGAATTAATAAAATTCATAGTCCCATATTTTAATGCCTTATGAAAGTAAATAAACAAATAATTAAATACTTTACATCACTATCAGAGAGGAAAATATCGGAAGGTATAAACAGGAAAACTGGAAGCAGACAATCATCACTTACATGCAAATAGCTGATTAAATGAAGTAAGATTAATAATATTTTGCATTTATATTACCTTCAAGTATTAATTTTTAGCGAATAATTAAAAAAAGAGTATAAAGAATTAAAAGCATATAATCACTTATTGAATAAAGGTCAACAAAAGTTGCTAAATATTAGAATAAATTAATTGATGTATTTAAAGAAACAAAGATATATTCATCTAAAAAAAGTAACAGTGATCTGAAAAATCCTACCAAAAAAAGAATAAATACATATGATTACAGTTAATGTTCTAAAGAAATATTTTTTAGCAAAATATTATATACCAAATAATTATAATATTAATTATAATTACTTCTTATAGTTAAAGGATTTATTGATATATTTGGATAAATATTTGAAATCAATTCAAGTGTTTCAGCTAACTTGTAAATAATATCATGATAATTTATGTTTTTATGATATAATACTATTAGAAGGCTTGCTAAATTGGATATATAGTTTGAAAGAAATTTTGGAACGTAAACAAGAAAAAGAGATAGAAAAAAAGAAAAAAATTGACAGATAAATCCAAAAGACGAAAAATTATTGAATATAAGGAATCATTAATATATTCCAAGGATGAGAAACAAACTAGGGAAAATGCATGAATGGGAATAGTTAAATTAGAAAAAAAAAGCGAAAAATTTCAGAAAACATTCAATAAGGTAAAACCAATTGGAACTAGTTTTAAAAGAATCAAACAAGATTTTTAAAGAAAAAAAAAAAGCAAGTAGAAAAGAAGGAAAAGAAGGAAGAGAAAGAGAAAAATGACAAATAATTTAGTTAATTGAATTTGTAATTTTTTAATAAATTTCATGAAATTTGAATTTTTTGTTGGCAATAATTTTTTTGTCAAATTTTTTACCACAGTATCAATTTTTGTCAAATTTTTTGTCACAGTAATTTTTTTGTCAAATTTTTTATCGCAGTATCAATTTTTTTATTGAATTTTTTGTTACAATATTAATTTTTTTGCTGAAATTTTTATCACAGTATACAAAAATTTAAATAAAATGTTAGTATCAAATCAAATATACAAACTATTTATTATACATATTCAATAATATAAGAAGATATATTGATCTTTTATATTAAAACAATATATATAATGATAAGTAAGATAAAAACTAATATAAATTTCATTGAATCTTTCATCTTTTATTAATTTTGATTTTGAATCAACTTTATTTATATCACTTCAAATAAGTTCATTCAAATTAAAATAACTTTACTTATTCTTATTTTTAATGATAACAATATCAACATAATTATGATTCATGATTCAATTGAATATTTAATATCCAACATGCTCTCAGATACAATTGACTTGTTATTCCAAAAAATTACATCATCTTGATCTTGTTTTCATTTCTTTTTCTTGCTTCAAAAAATGACATGGATCCTAATGACTTCATTCAGGTTAATTAAATTAATATAATTAAGTTTAAATATTATCAATGTTTTAAAACTAGAATTATATAATTTAATTTGAATTAAAATATAAAGTATTGCATGAATTTTTATAATCCGGTCAAAATTATATACAGTATAATGCCGACGAGTGATTATTCTTTACCTTATGTTAAATGGTTTAGAATTCATTTTTTTTTTTTTTTTCACTTAAATAACATAAGTAAGTTCAATATTTTTTAGATCACAATAAAAAAAAGAAACAATTCTATTAAGCGTTTAATAAGTTTGGAATCAAAACCAAAAATGTATTTAAAAGGAATAAACTGCAACTCTAAATATAATTGTCAAGATTTGTGATACGAGTAAAATTTAAAGTTGAATAAATAGAAATTATGAATATTATTGGAGTTCATTATAAAAAATTGACTCGGCGCATTACCTGATAGTCCTTTGCATATAATGTGTATTCTTTATGAAAATTTGTATAAATTAACAATCAATGTCAAGAACCTCAATCTGATCTTCAAAGAAACCTTTATATGCCTTAAAATGATGGTTTAATGCGTGATGAGCATGAATTCTATAGCAGGAGCCCAATCCTCCCGAGACGCTATTTGACCTTCCATAAAACACTCGGCCAATTCGCGAATGCACCAAAGCCATAGAACACCTGTTAACAACACAAAAAATGTCAATTTCTTATTATTAAAATTTACACTATAGTTTATAGAGTAATGCTTACATGACACAAGGCTCATGGGTGATAAACATATCATATCCTTTGCACAAGTAAGCAACTTTATCGTTTTCAATGTCCAATTTTTGAGGAGTTGAAACCAACGGAATGTATTCAGATTGCATTAGTTCATCTACCTCAGCCTTTCTCTTCTGTGGCAATAAGGTATCACTTCCATTTTTTTCTATACTATCCGATTTCCCAGGCAAAACTATAGCATTTATACAATTAAGAATAGCATGTCGAAGGAAATGTTTTGAAGATGTCCTCGTGTCATAGGATTCATATAGGATACCCCGATTTCTTGGATCTACTATTACACAACCAATAGGCACCTTCAGGGAAATTATAATATAAGAGGACTTCGAAGTCAAATAGACGAGGCGCAACGGGCTATGTCTTACCTCTCCACGAGATTTTGCAATCTTTGCTAGTTCAATTGCTTTTATCATGTGACTTTTAAGAATTTCAATTTCTCCAGGTGCAAAATTGGAATCCCTGCAATTATTACATTAACCATTTTATCGAAGATAATCGGAATCAATTTTATTTACAACTTCACAGACCTTGGATCTTCGCGAAAGTTGATTGGCCATAACCTTTTCCATTCTTCAAATTGAGCCCTGGAAATTGCCGGATATTGGGATACTTCGTGGATCCGGGGGATAATTGTCGATTCAAGGTTGTGTTCTTGAATCAAACGATTTAAATCATAAACTGATATCGAAGAGGTCAGGCATATGAGAACGCTTAAAGTGAATCCTTCGCAAAATTATTAAAATATATATGATTTTGCCGGTTCAAATTTAGAATCAACTGGAAATTTACCATTCCGTCACTTAGGTGGAAGGAAAGATCTACCTTCATTGTGATATGTTCTTTTTATTCTCTTGACATGATCCAAGGCTTTGGATTGCGGGCAATACCTTTGTATGAATCTTTGTAGAAAAATAAAAATCAGTCGATTTCATAAAGGAATGATATTAAAGAGTATTTACTTTAGAACTTTACTCGTCTCTTTAGGTTCTATGTCCGATATATAAACCTCAACTAAAGGAACCAAATTTAAAGAACGAGAGAAATACTGAATGTAACAGAAAGCAAGTGAAGTGTGGAATAGTCAGATACCCGTTTGTAGGCTTCTCGATTCTTCGTCCGATAGCACTTTCTGAAAAGGTAAAATTGCATCGCTCATTTTTTTTGACAATGATCGTTTTTTGAAAAAGCAAATCCTGTAACCGAAAAATTCATCAAAAGTTACGCCCGATGATCAATTTTATAGTAAAAATACAATTAGATTTTTTTTTTCCGCAGTCATGTTACTTGGTCATTATGATACATGAAGCACCTAAACTTTATACTCAAAGTAATCTATTCATCTTAAACCTATCAAGTCTCTAGATGAACCTTTGAATCAAAACCCTCCTAAACATTACATTTTATCATGCATCGACAATTGTCTTGTTTAATAAAGCAACATATCTAATCAGACGTCGGAGTTAAAAAAAGCTTTTTATCTTAAATAAAACAAATTAGAATTTTTAAAAAGTTAATAGTCAGCATAAATATTAGTAATTAACCAAAAATCTTTTCTTAAATATTTTAAGAACCACGCGTATTTTTATACCATCCTTACATATGACCAATTATTAAAATACCATATTGAGAGCGATCATTGTAAATCAATTACCCAATTGAGATACTGTGATAAGAGCATACTTGCACAAATCAAAAATCAACAACACACTCAAACTTCCAATATAAGCCTCCAACAAATGAAGTGAACTTAAAAAATCTTCCGCTTTATTTTTTCCTCTGAAATCATGGAGATCGGTCTACTAATCGCATATGGTGCCCTAGGTATTATGGCGGTGGCACCAATCTATTATGGGTCATTCGCTTCAGTCAAGTGGTCGAAGGTATGTTTTTTTTGACAGCTTCGTCAAAGACGTTATTCTTTGTTAATTTTTAGCTTCGTACTTAGAAGTCGAAATCCGGGCACACCGTTCAGAAAGTCGACTCGGATTCTTCAGAAGACGAAACCACCAGTGATCCTCTGACAACAGAGGATGCGTATCTTTTTCCAATTTTCGGCTCCGCTGTTCTATTTTCGTTATATTTGGTATTCAAGCTGTTGGACAAAGAATACGTGAACTATCTCGTCACCGCATATTTTGCGTTCTTGGGGGTGGTCGCCGTGACGGATGCCGGAGTGCATTGTTTTAAAAAAATCGTCGGAATCAAGTATGCTTCGTATAAAATTTTGTTAACGAAAAAAGAAAAAGGTATGTTCATTCGATGATTCGGTATTATCGTTTTAAACAACATTTTCCCTTATTCTTCTTACGATGATCGTTTTCTTGAATTTCTGCAGAGATCTACAAGACAAGATTCACCGCTGTTCACCTCGTGATACTCTTTTTATCAATCATTCTTACGGCTTTCTATGTAGCAACCAAAAATTGGATTGTATCCAATATTTTCGGTCTCGCCTTTGCTTTTAAGGCAATTCAGATGCTTTCATTGGATTCATTCAAAACTGGTATGATCCTTCTCAGTGGATTATTCTTCTACGATATATTTTGGGTATTTGGTACAGAGGTGATGGTAACGGTGGCAAAGAGTTTCGACGCGCCAATCAAAGTGGTTTGGCCTAAGAGGTGGTTCGGATTGCAGCCTGATGAGGCCTTACAATTTACGATGTTGGGACTAGGAGACATAGTAATACCTGGTAGGTTCCTCTCCTTAAACATCGATTCTAACACGGAAAACGTTGGATTAATGGGAACAATTTCGCGTTTAGGAATTTATGTTGCGCTCTGTCTCCGCTTTGATCACAGCAATTACCTAAAAAATAATCCTAATGCGCGTCGACATTCAAGGTTCCCTACACCTTACTTTAATAATTGCTTCGCCGCATACATATTGGGTCTTGCGACAACTATAATTGTCATGCACACGTTCAAGGCCGCCCAACCTGCACTACTTTATCTTTCACCAGCCTGCATATTATCTGTCCTAATCACGGGAATACTGAAAAATCAACTGAAGGAGGTTTTTGGCTACTCTGCTGAAAGTGCAGACAAAAAGGATGACGGGAAGAAAACCGAGGACGTTCCAAAGCAGGCTTCAAGTGAAAGCGAAGGTGACGAAGGATCGCCAAAGAAACGCGTTATTGAAGAGAACGACAAAAATGGAGATAGTTCTGCATTACTTACTGCTGAGGATGAGGATTATGTCGAGGTATCGGCTACCGGAGTTAAAAATAAGAAAAATAAGAAGAAACCTTCTAAAAAGAAGACTGGTTAAGATGATAAATATTTATTCATTTAATTGGGCCTTTCGGGGTTAATGGGTTAATATTATAATTAATATTTTCGATGTTATCCGCGAAATACATAGAATGTGTTAATAATTGATTATTAGTAAAGAAAAAAAAAAAAAAAATCTAAAAGACTAATATACTTCTAATAAATCTTAGATTATCTTTAAGTAATTTATTATCATCATTATTTTTATTTTTTTCTTATTTTTTTTTTCAGCGGTTTGCGATAACTGTTTATTCTAAGAAGACCTGATTGTACCTAAAAATTAACTTAGGTCATGTACTGTATATAGGTGCTGCTGGACGTTTGTTGGGTTCACACTGAAACGTGTAAAACAAATAGGCATTTGTGACGAATTACTTGATTATTAAAAACGTTTGTAGATTATCGATTAAATTCATTAAATATATTAAAAATTATAATTTCCAAAAAATCTTTTTAGAATTGTGAGTCTCCATATTATTTGGTGTATATATATATATAATATTGTAATCTAATGTTCAACCTGGACGTATATTCCCGCCGATAAAGAAAGAAATAAATATAAATGACGAAAAATGAACAAGACAGAGGTAACTTCTAACTGTGATGTACATATTGTAGTTGGTTATGTGAAGATATTATTTTAGGAAATTTAATCTATTAATTAGAAGATTCTTGAGCCTGTGCTAAACGAGCTTCCAAATTCCTCAAAGCTTCCTCCTTAGCCAAGAGTTCTTGCCTCTTTTCGGAGATTTCACGTTGGACCTTTAATTCAATTTCTCTCAACTGCAAAGAGAAGTTGAAATGACAAAATTATATTAGAATGACGGCGAGAGAGTCCAATGATAAATTCACATGTAAAATTCCTACCTTCTCCTCCTCCCGTTTCAGTTGCTCTTCCTTCAACCGCACACTTTGAGTGGCGAGGTCTTCTGGCAAGATGGCAGAATCCCTAACATCCACGGAAATAAAGTTAATTTTCCGTTGGCACGTGAAGAAATCCGCGTCAACTCAAAAATTATAAATACTCACTCGACAGAAGTACTGTCTGCGCTTCGACTAAGTTTCTCGGTACGGTAATTCTCATATAAGAAGTCGTGGGTAATTTCTTTCAGATCTTGTAAGTGGGAACTAGAAAATAGAGAATCGGTTGAACACATTTGGTAAACAGGACCCCATCATCGTACGTATGCACGCAAATGTACGCGTTGATAACGTGCTTGTTTACCTTAATAGGGCAGATCGTAATCTAGCGAAATCCGAATGTTGTGGATTGTCAACTGTAGAAGGATGAAATGATTAATGCTCATTTCGAAATACAAATATATCCGAATGTAAATCTGATGACTTGATTGTACCTTCGACCACACCCCACGGGTATTGTCGACCTCGAACAGACCTTCCGTTCACGTTTATTTCTTCCTCGCTCCCAACAATTGCAAAAGGTAGAAGGGCCTATGATGTGTACATGGTTATTGGGAATTTACTGATGAGTTACTAACCCAAACATAGTCTCACTAAACTTACCCTTAATTCGCTATTTTCTTCAACAGTCTCTTCATCATCTTCTTCTACGTCAAACGGAAAATTGTAGATTGGGATATTATAATGGTCGATGTCCTCCATGATCTACAATTGAACAGTAAACGGTTTAGTCGTTTGAAAATAGTTGTTTCTTTTGTAAACACCGTTTACATGATGATCTACCCTTTTTTTGAATTCTGCCAATTCGGTGGGTGTGCACGTATCGGCTTTGCCAATAACAGGAATTACATTTACGCGTGGACTAAGGCGCTTCATTAGTTCAATATCAATTTCACGAAGGCTAAAATAGATGATTCCAGTTTAGTATGGAGGCAAAGGAACAACGGTGGCTTAAAAAAAAAGAAGTTATCAATGAGATACATACGAATGACCTGTGGGAGTGATGAAATAAAGAAGAGCATGAACACGATTGTCCCGAAACCGTGGATTACGTTTAATTCTTGACTCTTCCGCGAGAATATCATCATATTGTCTTTCTAAGTAGCCCATAATTTCTTGGAAGCTAAACATCAAAGAATGAGTTGACCTTCTCAATTTAAATAAACTTTCGCTTATTAATGGAAATTTTTTTACCAAAATTCATTGTCAATATTGTCCCCGAAACCAGGAGTATCTACTATAGTTAGAGCAATTCTGACCCCGTCTTCTTCCAACTCTGTGATGGTGGCAAACTTGGTGACACGTTCTCAATCGAATTGTCTTACTACGTTACGTGTGTACTTACCGACAGTCACAGGTTTGATGCGAATACCTTCCTCCACGTTAGCAGCTTCGGGATTATCACATAATTTCTTGGATAAGACTTCGCTACCACAGAGGGTGTTGACAAAGGTGGTACGACCGGTGCCAGAAGCTCCTATAGTAAGCAATTTATTAATATTCTTTTTTCCCTCGATGAATGTTTAAGAATTCGACAAAACCCGATCGCTAAAATCATTTCGTGCAGAATCTATGGAGATTTCCGGATCGAAGAGTCATAAATGAAGGGAAAACCCACCAACCACCATGAGAGTGAACTGAAACCCCTTTTTAACGTTTTTTCTGCGTCCGCCTAATCTCTGTTGTCAAATATAGACGTTTAATAGCAAAGTTATTTCTCATTTAACGTTTCCACTAAAAAGAGTTAACCGAGATGACGCACATGAGCCATGTTTTAGATGGAAGCCAAAGTGGTATTACGATTCAGATTCAACCAGAGAAGTGACAGTTAGAGTGAGAGAACAGGTCTCTGAAGGAGTGGATGCGTTCGGTAATGAGGGTATCAGAACGCTAAGGAATGACCGGTTCGATAAAAAGTGTATTGCAAAAAGTAGTATTAAGATGGCCTAATGGATAAATGGCAAGAAATAAAGCTGGCAACAGCTAAGAGGGTTCTCATAATGTCACGCAGAAGAGATAATTTTGTTGGAAGTGACACAGGGAATCTGTAGCACGAAGTTGAACAAATAGCGTGGTACCACACGAATCTGCACCAATAGTCTCGAAAAACTCGTATCATTTTTATGCAGCATCAACCAATTAGCAAGACCCGTGGAAAAAATTGGATGAACTGTAAACTGTAAATATCACCTTTTGGATGTGCTTTTGTGTAATGTTTGTATTGTTTGATTTCTGATTCGATATATTTTTAAACCATTCTTTTAATTATTATTTAAATAAATTTATTATTATTATTTTTATTATTATTATTATTATTATTATACAAGCTTTGAGAATTTCAATAAATTATTTGTCAAGAATGTTAACTGTTCAACTTAAAAAGGATCGTCCATAGTGGATGGAGGAGTGTTTACTTGGCAATTAAGGTTTCATAATGTAATCGATTATTCGGTTGTTAAGAATATGCCTTCCGGCTAATGCTTGATATTAAGGTTGAAGGTGATGCATGTACTGTATGTGCCCTGGGACGAACCGCGTCCGATTAAAAGCTGACGAAAAAAAAGACGGGACACACGTGATGAATGAAGCTATTATCATGATTTGAGGGTAAACAGATTCATCTCAATATTCAAAACTTTATTGAAATATTTTATGTTGTATCAAACAAGTCAGTCTCGCTAAAGCAAAAAGATTCTATCTACCACATCACACCAACTGGGCTGCCCGGATCCAACAGACATTTGAAATATAATTACATCTGACTCATGGGATGTCCTTTGAGAATACTGGTCTCAATAGATCATTCCTGTGCAATGAATTGAACCTGGTGAATTAAACTAGATCATAGAATTTTCTTGGAAAAAAAAAAAAGACAAAACCACTTTCTACCTTTTCTTGTACTCATACACCAATTCATCCAACCCAAATATACTAGAAGGCTGATCGAACTCATCTCTAAAATTTCTCTTCGATTTGCTTTTTACGAATTTCAAATTCTCAAATATTTAAATTGTTAAAACACCCGGCATCCTTATAAAACGATGGCGAGAAATTATTAAACTTTACCTGGTGGAAATTCCTTCTATGGTTAACATCAAACCTGTTGCAGAAGAGGGTTCCTTGCCACCTTGCCCCGTCGTACTCATTTGCGGTGTTAGACTGACCTTACAATTGGTCACTTGAAAAGTGTGACTTAAAGAATGACAGTCGGCTACACTTTCACCGTCTTCCTTGAGGTCTATTAAAACGCACCGATCCTTTTGATCTATTAAGGGGAAAGGCTCATCTTCAAAGACGTAGTGCACCACCGGGTGCTTCCATGACTGTTGCATTTGGTCATAGATCACCACAAATTGTGGGACCGTTGAGGAGCCCACAGTTGAAGAGCCCGAATGTGCAGAGGAGGTGAGTGGATATTGTTGCATTGTTAGAATCGATTGTCGATCACGACAATTAGATGTAGGTCTGTCTAATTGGTCCAATTGCTCAACGGAAATTCGCTATAAAAAAATTGTTGACAACCCATGCCGACCTCCATCATCGAATAAATGGCACGACATTCCCACTCAAGAAGTAGATCTCGTTCACGTTCCCCTCCAAAGAAGAGAAAGCATTCGCATAGGCATGATAGAAACCGAAGTCGCGAACGCACAAAGGATTCCGCGAGTGAAAAGACTAGGGACAGGAGTCGCAGCCGTGAAAGACGTGGCCGAGAAAAAGATCGTCACAAAGATGATAGAGAACACAAGCGATCCAGACACTCGAGAGGCGATGAAAAAGAAGAGGCACATACGAAGACACAATACTCGAAAGGTTACGAAGACAAAAAGGCTCACGCTCAAGAAATTAAGAGCGTACAAAGATCTCCGAGTCACACCGCAGACGCTTCTCTTTTCTCATTAAAGTCCGAGGATACTCAGACCAGTATGATAACGGAAAGTTCGAATGGAGGAGATTTACAATCGAACGCCGTAGAACTTAAGGTAAATAGCAAACCGAGCTATTCTCCCGATTTCTTTTCTTGCATTACCAGATATCTCAGGGGAATTTATTGTCTATTTTCCTTTTTAATCAAGCCTTCCGATTCGGCGACGTCTGCCACTGTAGCGGCTTTACTTGACCAAGAAGAAAAAATCCGTCAGAGACGTGAAAGAGTCGAACAATGGCGAAAGGAAAGAGAAGCCGCCAAATTAGCTGAAGAAGCGGCCAAAGCAAAAACAGAGGCTAACATCGGCGACTCTTCAACAGCGGCGGACGGAGAAACGCAACAAAATTCAAATAAGGGTTGGACATTGGATGATGACGACGAAGATGAGACTATGGAGGTTGACAGCACTTTAGGTGGATTATCATCTTTCATTGCCCCTGGATTCTTGTTTCTCATGGCACAATATTAACCATATTTCAATCCTCCAGAAACCGTTGACTTATTACCAATTCCAAAGCCTGCTGATAAACCTGATTCCTCAACTTTTCAAGTCAGGAGAAATCCTTTACTTGGACTCGGTAGCAAAAAAACGAATAACAAGGGTAAAGGTAAAGAGGGAACAGCGGAGGAAGAAAAAAATCATACTTTATCTTCTAAAGGTTCAGAAGGTTCAAGCGACCAATTGATGCGAAATAACAGTGCGGAAGAAGACCCACTCGATGCTTTCATGAAAGATGTTGAAGTTGAAGTGGAACATCTAAATGAACAAGATAAAAAGCGAGCAAAACAAATGGCGAAAGGTAAAAGCAGGTATGACAGATTGGAATCTATAGTGCAGGATGAAGTTGACGTGGAGGAAGAAATTGGAAGTGACCCGGAAGATATACTTGCGTAAGTCTCATCGACAAATAAGGCTTTGTTTACTTGCAATCGAAGGATATCATTTTTCAAGAATATTATATCAGTGCGACGAAACACTGTTAGCGTAAAATATTAATCAATTATGATAATATCATAGGCTCGCAGCCAAAAAACTCAAGAAGAAAGATTTGGCTGCCGTTGATCACTCTCAAGTGAAATATGAACCTTTTCGCAAGGATTTCTACATTGAACCTCCGGAAATGCATGATTTAACGCCGGATCAAGTAGATCTTATAAGGGTAGAATTAGGCGGCATCAAAATCAGGGTTTGTATTCCATGAATGCGGTAGATTTATTGGTTTTTCCTGTACTAACATTTACTTGTTCTTAGGGTGTCGACTGTCCCAAACCAATTCAGAAGTGGACTCACGCAGGATTGCCCGCCGCCTGGTAAAAAATTTAACATTGTACGACATTTATGTTAATGCTGTTTCTATAACAACTTTCTGGGATATTCAGCCTGCAGATAATAAAGAAATTGAATTTCGAAAAGCCCACACCCATCCAATCCCAAGCCATACCTGCTATAATGGCCGGTCGTGATGTTATAGGGGTCGCCAAAACCGGCAGCGGGAAAACAATAGCTTTCTTGCTCCCAATGTTTCGTCACATTAAAGATCAACGTCCACTGGATCAAATGGAGGGTCCTATAGCCATAATTATGACCCCCACCAGAGAGTTGGCGGTACAAATTCATAAGGAGTGCAAACACTTCCTGAAAGGATTGAATCTTCGGGTATTGTTTGTTTTATATTTGAATGGTTGAACATTTGCACTCTTTAAATGACAATAATTATTTTCCAAATTTTTTAAAAGGCTGTTTGTGCATACGGCGGCTCGCCAATAAAGGACCAAATCGCAGAACTAAAGCGTGGGGCTGAAATTATAGTCTGTACTCCAGGACGTATGATTGATTTGTTGTGTGCAAATTCTGGACGAGTAACAAACCTGAAACGGGTTACTTATCTTGTTTTAGACGAAGCTGACCGAATGTTCGATATGGGTTTTGAACCTCAGGTATTTATGCCTAAAAAATTTCATTTTTTCCTTATATTCTTATCATTTTACCAAGTCCAACATCATGCAATATAGGTCATGAAAATTGTTAACAATGTCCGACCTGATCGGCAGACTGTGTTGTTTTCGGCCACGTTTCCGCGTCAAGTAAGAATCTTCCATCCCTATCGCATACTTCGGTTGTTATATTCCCAGTGCTTATTAATTTTTCGTATAGATGGAATCTCTGGCTCGCAAAGTACTCAAAAAACCGTTGGAAATTACAGTTGGTGGGCGTTCGGTTGTAGCGCAAGATGTGACTCAAATAGTGGAAGTACGCGAGGAGAGTACTAAGTTCGTTCGCCTGCTTGAAATTTTGGGTCAGCAATATAATGATGATCCTGACGCTCGGACTCTCATTTTTGTTGATCGTCAAGAAGCAGCGGATAATTTACTGCGCGACCTAATTCGTAAAGGCTACCCGTGTATGTCACTGCACGGAGGAAAGGTAGTTTAAATTATGAGCGGATTTTATGCATCAACATCACACCTTTTAACCCTCGTTCTTAATTCACTTTTTCAGGACCAACTGGATCGTGATAGTACCATAGCCGATTTCAAGTCTGGTGTTTGTCAGCTGCTAATTGCAACCTCCGTTGCTGCACGCGGTCTAGATGTTAAGCAACTTAAACTTGTCATTAATTTCGAATGCCCAAATCACATGGAAGATTATGTACATCGAGTTGGTAGGACTGGACGCGCGGGTAACAAGGGTACTGCTTACACATTTATTACACCAGAACAAGACAGATATGCCATGGACATTGTCAAAGCGTTAAAGTTAAGCGGTGCTCATGTGATCCCGGAATTGCAGAAACTGGCCGATGGTTTGATATTGATTGCCCTTGCTACTTCTTTCGAAAGCTAAATGGAAAAAGATTTTTAAATTTTTATTATCGTTTTCCAGGATTCCAAGAAAAGGTTAAGGCCGGTAGCGCCACATATTCAAGTTCAGGATTTGGAGGAAAGGGTCTCGAAAGGTTGGACGAGGCACGAGATCTTGTCAAGAAAGCTCAAAGAAAAGTAGGTTTCTTTATTAAACTTTAACCTAAGCTTTTGTAGTTTTCTTTTTATTAATTGATGTCTCACAATGTAGACTTATGGTGACGTTGATGACGATACGTCCGAAGATGAGATAGAAGAAGACGAGCTGTCAATTCAGTCTAAGAAAGATGATGCTTCTGGTTTAGGCATCTCTACCGCGATATCCGCTACAAATGGTCAATCTACTGACCCCGCTGCAATCGCTGGTATGCTCGTGTAACGATTATTATTTTATGATAGTTTTTTTACTAAATTATTTTGAAATTAAGCCCTCAAAGCTGCGCAAGAAGCTGCGGCCCGTGTTAACGCGAAAAATGTCGGGGTTAGCGGTGTTCAGAGAGCAAAGGACATCATTGCCGACATTAATGCGCGCTTCAAAGAAAATAATATTCAGGGTACTGTGCCCGAGGCAGACAAGGCCGAAAATGCCGCAGAATATTCCGTTGAAATTGAGATTAACGATTATCCGCAGAAGGCAAGGTGGAAAGTCACCAATAAGGTACTGCGCACCCTTTATCTGAGGTTAGTTTATTCATTTCTTGAGATTGCTTATTCATTTTTCGTTATCACTTCGTAGGAGCAAATATCACAAATTACGGAACTTACCGGTGCCGCTATTACAACGCGTGGCACCTACTTTCCTCCTGGTCGTCAACCCGCACCGGGGTCCGGTGAGAGAAAGCTTTACCTATTCGTTGAAGGCGAAAATGAATACGTTGTTGAGAAGGCTAAAAATGAAATAAAACGAATATTAACCGAAACCACGTTAAGTGCTATTGAAGCCGAGGCTCGAAATCCCGGGAGTACCTCATTGGGTGGATATGGCAAGTATACGGTTGTTTAACGGGCGGGTTCTCCTCCGGTTATGTTGTAGCGAATACTCCTTTTCCCTTTTCTTGTTTCATTCCTATATATGGAATAGACGATGTGTGCACAGAAATCTTCTCGAAGATTTTTTTCACAGTTTATAATAAAGGTGGTAGCTTTTTATTTTTACTCTTCATTATAATTTTTATTCTGGGTTTACCAGTTGACAATCTCTTTTTTGTAAATTTGCTAAGCACGGCAATTTTCCCACGCATCCGCTATTACCTTTCAGGTTAGCAAATCTGAATGATTATGTAGTTTTATGTATGGATCGATTTTCCGTTAGTTTAGAGTGTTTCGAAATACAATAAGGTTGACCAAAAGCCATTCACTTTAGCAGCACTCATTGCATCTTATTTGCGAGGTAAAATTGGTGTTTTGCAGCGTGCCATGTCTATTTTCACTTAATTTTGTGCCTGGCCTGTCTGATGAGATCTCATTTTGAAATTGAAGGCATCACCAAATCACTTGCATTTTTGAATGTGAGGTATGCTCAATTCACAAAAGGTAAGTGTCATATTAGCTTGACTAATTTATCGGGACGAAGATTTTCGACTTACTGATTCCCAAGTCTTGAAAATCCTTTAACCATCAATGCTTGACTCAATTTTGTAAATCCAATATTTGTATATAGTATATTGCCAAAAGTTTATAGCTTTGAATCTACCATTGTCATAATAGATACAACAATTGTATCTAGTTAAAAACCTTTATATGTTGTTATATAAAAAAGAAAAAAAAATCTTTATTTAATATTATAATTTTTTTTATTTTTTTTTTAATTTAATTAATAAACACATAATATAGTATATTTTATTGATTTTTTTTTAAATACAATTAAATGTGAGATGCAAGTTTTATTATGAATTAATTAATTTGAATAGATAATTAAATTTTTTCAGTACAATATTAATTATTATTATTATAAAAAAAAAAAACTTTTTTTACTAATTCACTTAAAAACTATATTTACAAAAAGTTTTTATGTTTTTTTGTTAATAAAATTTTGATACTTTCATTAAAACAATTTGAAATATGACTTCAAGAATCATTACTATTTTTTTTTGTTGGTTACAAATTTCATTATTTAAAAAATGATTCTTAGTAATCAAGAAAAGTCAAATAATATCTTTAATATCAATGGCAAGAAAGTTTCAAAAGAAAAATAACCAATTGTAAAATATCTGAAGGTCTTTTAATCTTTAAAACAAGAAGTTTATAGAGATTTTCTATAATAAAAAGGTTTATTTCTTCTTTTTTAACTGTTATGATTCTTTTAAAGCTTTCACTTTCATAATTTTTTAAAAAATTTTATTTATTTTAATTTGATTCTTAATTTTGGGTAATACAAACTAGACTTGTGGGTCAATAGTATAATGGGTGCATTTCCAGATTACCATCTGTAAGCTACCAATTCAATCCCACTTAAGAACAGTTTTTACAAATATAGGTCATGTTATACAAGATGCATGTTCTAAATCATATGCATTTATATATATAATGACCTATTAGATTTCACCATTTGTCATAATGTCATAAATCAGGTTATACAAAATATCAAGAAAGATAATGATAGACTTAGGAACCTATTAGTCTCATATAGAATCTATCTCTTCTCAAAAACTCTAGTTTCATGGAAGATCTGAGAGACTTTGGTTATACACACTGGTTGCAAAAGTAAAGAGCTAGACATATACTGGAAGATCTTTGATCACTACCACTAATGGTTACAAGAGATTGAACCTCACTGATGATCAATGAGGGTGATGAAACAGAATAATCATGATGGGATTATTGTAGAGACTGATACATTTAAGAGAAACCAATAGTCTCATATAATAATCAAGGAAAATCTCTATAAAATCATATTTGAATAGTGGTTAAAAATGGTTACTGGAAGACTATAATTATCAATCTGACTCATTAATGGCTGCTGAAAAACTTGTTGGAACTATATGGAAACTAAAGAATATCAATAGACAACTAACTTCTAAGAACTAAGTATGATAAAAGGATATTAATTAAGAATAGAATACATTCCATAAGGTATACAGACCCCATGAAATGAACACATTCCAAAACTAGCTTCCTGATAAAGAAATAATAAGAGGTCACCTAGTGGATTCCTGAAATACCAGGTAGCCTAGGCATAATAGGGCAGCTAACAAAGATGGTATTCTTAACAGATAAAATTAAATAGAATTTAATTGGATATAATAGGATAGTATAGATTAGTAATTATAAGAATCACTCTTATAAAATAAATTATACATTCTATAATATCTGATCAATAAAAGTCCAATCAGTTTGATTAAATAAATAAAAAAAAAAGTAGTACAAATTCTTATCAAAAGTGATTGACTAATATAAAATACATTGATTTCTGAAATATAAACAAACATCTATTGATTATGGTTATATATTTTGATGATACCATTAATAATTAAAAAAAATATTTTAAAAATATTTATTTTTAGAAACTTAAGTTCTTTAATAAAAACATTTATGATATTAAAATATTAGGAGATAAATAATATAAATTAAAATTCTTGTCTCTTTTTAAAGTTCTTCAAGTAATAATAAAGTTTTAATAAATAAAAGTTAAGATTTAAATACTTTTTTTTCTTGAAATATTCTAATTCATTACTTGCTTAAATAAAAGATTAATTAGATTACTTATTTGATATTACAAATAATAAAAAAAAATTTTTTTTTTATTATTTCAATTAGAAAAGAAAAAACTTTTTTTGCTAATCTTCTGACCACATATAAAAAAGATGTTTATAAAAAGTTTTTATACTTTTTTGTTAATAAAGTTTTAATACTTTCCTTAAAACAATTTGAAGTATAACTTCAAGAGTTGCTTCTATTCTTTTTCTTTTATTTACAAATCTTTTTACTCAAAAACTTGACTCCTAGTGACCAAGAAAAGTCAAGTAATACCTTTGATACTAATGACAAGAAAGTTCTCAAAGAAAGAAGAACTAGTTGTAAAGTATTTAAAGGTCTATATTACTTTTGAAGCAAGAGGTTTATAGAGGTTTTCTGCAGTAAAAAGGCTTATTTTTTCCCTTTTTAACTGCTTGGCCCTCTTAGAGTTTTTATTTTCATAATTTTCTAAGAAATTTTGTCTATCTCAGTTTGATCCTGAATTTTGAATAATGTAAATTCTCACCAAAGATGAATGTTTAATATGAAAAATGTTAGTTTTTGAAATATAAACAAGTACCTATTGATTATATTCACATGTTCTGATGATATAATTGATGATTGGAAAGAAAGGTTCAAAAGATTTGTTTTCAAAAGTCCAAGTTCCTTAATAAAAACTTCTATGACATCAAAAAACCAAGTGATGGATAATATAAATTTTAAACTTTCATCTCTTATCTAAGTTTCTCAAGTAATGACAAAGCTTTAATGTAAAAAAGTTAAGGTTAAATGCTTTTCTGGAGATATTTCAATCTAGTGCTTACTTAAATAAAAGATCAATTGGATTGACTTATTTGATGCCACAGGTGATAAAAAAGAAGATTTCTTCTAAGGTTCAAGTAAAGCAAGAAGACTATTCTAATCATGTGAATCTCTTTTGAGAAGAGGTTGTTTTTATTTTTGGATTTTTTTGGTAAACCTTGAATTGTCTTCTTTCTTCAATCATTTTCCTCTTTTTTCCTTTTTAACTTAGCAATTCATTGATTTTTAGGCAATCAATAATAATAAACTAATTGCAATGATCTTGATAGATAGATATTATTACCAATCTATCAAGGGAGTATAATATCATTTCCAAAATCTCATCACTCTTTCCGCTGATCCTCTGACCACACACAAAAAAGATGTTCACAAGAAGTTTTTATACTTATAAGCTAATAAAGTCTCATCACTCTCCTTAAAACAATT